TAGGTATTTGTCCTAATGCTCTAGGTTTTTTGATTCTTAAAACAAAGTTGTGTTGTTATTGTTGATGTATACTCTGAAATCTGTTTTGATTCTAGCTGTGTCTATGACTGTTAATTACAGAGCTGCCTTTAACTCTGTTTATTAAAATAATTGCCTCTGTGAAGATACTTGTCAGTGTTACATACACGCTCTCCCCTCCGTCATTGTGGCATAGGATGTTAATTTTTAATTTCATATAAACATGACTAAGCCTTGTCCCACATTTCTAAAATGAGACACATCTTTTATTGGTTAATTTATGCTCCCCCTCCCTTTTTTTTTTTGTATTTCGAGTGTTGTGCAAGTTCCAGAAGAGGGCTTTTGTTTCCTGGAAACGAGATCCGGTCAGCTGATAGCCAGCATTCCTTGTGTGTGTATATGTGTGTGTAATAGGTTTAACAGGTTTTTTAATATTATTTTATTTTTTGTCACTGGTTTTGAATTATTAAGAGCAACTTACTATGCACTCAGCAAACGTGTTCACAGTGGAGTTGTTGGGATGCTCTGTTTTCACTGATCTCTTTTCAACGACCCTCTTCCGACCTCATCTGCTGCACAGCGGCTCTCTGAGCGCCTGCACTCCACACTCTTCCCTCGCTCCCTCGGTAACAAACCGCGGTGTCCCTGGAGGCGGAGGACACAGATCACTGGGGTGGAGGGAGCACAGACTGGGGGGTCATGACTCAGAAACGGACTAAAGACCAGGGCAGAGGAGGGTAGCTGTGCAGAGAGGCCCGGGGACCCCTTTCCACAGCACTGCAGCCTCCGCCGCCTCAGCGCTCATTGGTGGAGAACATTTGATAAGTGCTGATTTAGGAAACTGTGTAAGACTTAAATGCTGTGATTTAAACTGTGTACAACCTAAATGCTGAAGAACTCTCTTGAAATTTATTGATTATTTCAGCCTTCTATAGGGAGTCAGTACCAAAGTATACTTGTAGAGGTTGAGTAGTTCTTATTTCTTGGAACTCCAATTACTTCTAGTAAGGCATAAGCCTTCCCTTTAGTTCACATTTCTTAGTGAAATTATTTCTTGAGACAGTTAGGACTCATTCACAGGTCAACTCTATGATGAAGTAGAAAATCACAATTTATTATTATGATCAATACTCACCCATTTTTTTTTTTTTTTGGAGATGGAGTTTCCCTCTTGTTGCCCAGGCTAGAGTGCGGTGGTGTGATCTCAGCTCACTGCAACGTCCACCTCCCAGGTTCAAAAGATTCTCCTGCTTCACCTTCCTGAAGAGCTGGGATTACAGGCGTTCGCCACCACGCATGGCTAATTTTTTGTATTTTTAGTAGAGACGGGGTTTCACCATTTTGGTCAGGCTGATCTCGAACTCCTGACCGCAGGTGATCCACCCACCTTGGCCTCC